GGGGGGGGGGACAAAGACTGTAGTTTTAGGAATGGTAACCTTAGCCAGACTTTTTTTTTTTTAAATATATCTTTTTATTAATTTCAGAGAGAGGAAAGGAGAGGGAGAGAGAGAGATAGAAACATCAATGATGAGAGTCATTGATCGAGGCCACAACCCGGGCATGTGCCCCGACCGGGAATCGAACCCTGATCGCCTGGATCCCAGGTCGACCCTCAACCGCTGAGCCACGCCCGGCTGGGCAGCCAGACTATCTTATCTTGACATTCAGTAATAACTGTACATTCAAATGTTAAATCTTACAGCTGCACTTTAGCTTTTCTACTCTTCATTATGGTAATTCAAGTAATACAACAGTCAGGTTACAATATCGTTGAGGTAAATTATGTAAGTTAAAGAAAGTTTCCTCGTACTTTAAATCTCTAAATTAATTGGACCTTGAACTAACTTACAGAAACTTACTGAAATCACTGGGTTGATTAAAAATCAATATTGCATATTTGTCCTGAAAAATATTTACCCTTTCCCCACCCCTTACCAGAAGCTACCAGAGAAAAGAGTTCCTAAGGAGTGATCACAGAATATAAAAATCTAGCATTTTGGTTTCAGTTAAAAGTTTGGAATATTAATTTTCAAGAGGAAATAAAGGGTAATATTTCAAGGTTTCCAGTTCTTGATATTATTCACTAGTCATGAGAACTTGGACATGTAAATCTCATCTCCAGTTTCCCCACTGGCAAAGTAAAAATAATATCTGCTTTACCTGCTTCACACTGTGGTTTGAGAAAATCTGTAAAAGGCATTTCGCAAAGGATAAAATATAAAATGTGTTTGTACTTACAAATGTAAACCCTAGCCAGTTACAAACAGGTATTTCCTTTCTTTTGGTCGACTCAGTTCCCACACCTCCCACGTGAAGCAATGCGAATGCCTTCGTGCCCACTCCGTAAGCTCCAGTTTGCAGTCTTACCCGCTTAGGCCAGCTCTCTGGACTTGTCTGGAAATTCATCTTTATAATGCAGGATGGACTTTGTTTCCTTTTCCTATTTACTTTTCAATAAAATATTTGAATTATATGACATTTTGATTCAATAGTTTGATTACACTTAATCCTGTAATAGGACATTTTCATGTATATAATTTTGCTTCTTTAAGCTGCCTCTTTCTAATAACAGGAGGTCATTTGTGAACCCAACTCCTCATAACAATTGTTCTTTGCATCCTGGCCAACTGAGTTTCATCACCACAAATTCTCTGTGGAAGTCTCAACCAAAACTGTGGCATATCTACAATTCCTTAGGCATCTGCTTATCTTTTTAATTAGTATTTTAAACAAAGTGCTAACTTTTCTAGCCTTACTTTATGCCATAGAAAGGCTATTTCATTTAAAACTCTAACATACAATTCCCAGACAGATTAATGATATCGAAAACAACAAAATCTCTCATGGGTATTAGATTTTTATTCCAATTTGATTTACATTCCAATGGAAATTATAAAATGTATTCACTTCTTTATTTTTAAAATGTGACTTAAAATCTTAATGAAAACTGTAAAACATGAGAAACTTGCAGATCAAAATTGGACTAGTTTCTTGAAGCAACAAGTTTTTAAAATAAGTTTTTCAACCACCATTTTCTCCCTCCAGACCAAGGATGGCCCTAATTCGCGATCAGCCGCGCTGTAAGGGCAGGGCAGCACTGAGATTTGAGTCACAGAGACACTGTAGCGCTTCTCCAGGCCCAGGCAGGAACCTTCCTATGCCTTCTCGTAGTGGCGCACAGCAACTACATCACCGAAAGTAAGAGTCTGCAAGATCCCAAAGATAACCAAGTCACTTTAGACAGAAACATCAGTAGCTGAGGAGAAGTTAGGAGTTTTGTATTTTTGTTATATTTTTGTGTTATATTCTAAATGATCTGCACTGAACTTATATAACCTTTATAAACTAAAATGTAAAATGCTTGAAGATCTCTTATTTATTACAGGAGTTATAAAGTAATTTTCCTGAGATCCAGTAAGCTTGATATTTTTATAGGGATATCAACCATCTGTATATATTTTCATGATTGTTGGTTTTATATTTAGAATTTATTTGAGAATTAGGCATTCATAGGTAATCCTACAAAAATTCTTTTGACACAGTTTTAGCTAAATCAATGGCAACGTGTGTTTTTAACTACACTAAGAGTTTCTCTTTTTCTATAATTAAGGAAGCAGAGCTGAGGAAACAATTAGCTAGGATCTATTTATTTCTTCTGTTTTACACAAGCTTAACGAACCTTGCTAATGACTTAATGTTATTAAAGACAGAGAGGAGGGAGGGAAGAGAGGAGGGGGAAGGGAATGAAGGAAAGGAGGGGGAGGGGGGAGAGGGGAGGGAGAAGAAAGGAGATGAGAAAGCAGGGAGGGGTAAATGCAGGAAGAAAGAGAGGAGAATGGCCATTACTTACCATAACCATTTTGCCATCCTTAATTTCTCTTACAAAATTTGTTTCTTTGCCATCCCATTTCTGTACATGAAGGAGTTTGTCTCCATCCAGGCTCACAACAGACTGAGAACAACAACAAAAAGCAGAACATAGGAATAGTTACAGATCCAATTTCTGATATAAAAGTCAAATGAAGTGATTTTTTAAAGAGTTGTATAATTGAATAAATTGTGATCTACTAGTTATCATATTAGTGCCATATCCTGTGTTGCTTCTAGAGTCACCATTATGTAAACTCTAATAATTCTTAATTTGTTTAACATGTGTACAGCTAGATGCAAAAATATAACATATTAGAAATAAAAATTCTGACCAAGTGCATTTAGACTAGTCACCCTTCTCCAAAGCAAAGCCTTAGAATGAGGTAAGCTGTTTATTTAGTCAATCTGAGGCAATCAGAGGGAGTAAATAAAATGCAATCATTCCTTCAAACAAATGCTATTAAATACTTTTTGAAAAATAGGTTTGATATATAATGTGAAAACATGGTAAAAAATAGATTCAAGCTTTAAGCTATAGCAAGCACCCATTGTTCAGAGCATAACCTATCCCCAAAATGCAAAATTAACCCTGACATCCTTCTCTGTGAATGGAAACACGGAGAACACTCTCCACTTTCCAACACCTAAAAAAAAGTAATATCAGAAATCTCTCTTTTTCTTCCCCCTCCCCCCCAAGTGAAGTGGCTTCTTACCTTACAGTTTCTGTCATCTGCAGTGGTTTCATCAAACTCTTCTCCTAGATGGAAGCTAATCTCTGTGTTCTTGAATGTGCTTTGAGTCCTGATCACCACTTTGGCCCCCTCCTGACTGATGATCACTGTTGGTTTAGTCACATTTCCCACCTGCCTAGTGGCAAACCCCACACCTAAAACAGCAAGGGAAGCAATACAGTGAGCAGCAACTTCCAAAACAGCTCGCAAAGCAGAAAACTGCTTTCCTATTTTGGAAATCAGGTCCTAAAGTACAAGTTTCATTAGGGTATGTTTAGCTCATTAATCATGCAATACAACTACTGGGCTACAATAATATAGATAGAGGCACAAATAAGTGGATGCTGAAGAGAAAATGACACTGCAGACTATCAAATGCACCATTATTTGGCCCTGGGCAAGAAAGCAGACAAATGCCACATTAAAAATCCATTCCCTGGGAAGCGCAAAGCCTAGGGAATGGATTTTTTTATGACAATGTCATCTGTCTTTGTCACTTGCCAATCTAATGGGTGAAAAAAACCTGCAAGCCTCTGAAGCTGCAGGTGAAGAAGAGAACATCTCATTCTTACCCACCTAGAGCCTTCATGTACTCATCGAAGTTCTGACTGTCCGTCAGCTTCCAGGTAGCACAGAAAGCCTCCACCATCCTTGCCCTTTCCCGTTAGCTTTGAAAACAGAGAAAAGAGGCTGGAGCGAGGATTTTTGAATCCTAGTGTCAATGCAATTCAGAAGACCCCTGTGCACCTCAGGGCAGCTCCCTCCTTCTTATTTGGAAAAGAGGCGGGCAGGCAGCCGAGGGCTGAAATTGCAAACGCACCCCTGCAGAGTCCTCCCCTGGAGGCTGCTGCGGGGGGAGTGGTGGGAGGGAAGGCTCAAGAGAGGCTCCAGTCCTCTCTGTGATTGGCTCGGGCCACTGGGTCAGCGGAGCAGGTCAAGTCCCCCCCAGTCCTCACCCTGCAGCCCTTGGCCTGAGAAAGCTCGGCGAGGAATCAATGGGGCTGGAGGCAGGGCGCGGGAAAGTGAGAGAAGGCCTTTTAGGTTCAGCTGGAAAACTTGGCAACGGCCATTTCAGACTGTGAGGAAAGAAAAAAGATGCACAATAGAACATTCAGATTGATTTCCGTTAATGACAAAGCTGGTTCCACAAATGAGGACCCTCCCCCTCCCTTAAAGAAAACCGCTGAAATGCCAGACTTTTCAGACAAAGGAGGCTGAATAGTAGAACATGCGGAACTAGGAAAAGAAGAGGGGAATGTTGTAAAGGCCTTTCCTGGGTTGTACAGCCAGGAGGCTATTCTGAGTATCAGTGGGACACTAACTAATCTTGGCCTCTTCCCAGCACAAACTGAGGGAATTTAAAGGCCCCATTACTCTTTGTAAGAATGTGAGAACCAGACTGAGATGGAAAGGGGACCTAAGGAAGAGCATGGTTAGGATTCACTAATGAGGTGTAAACATAAAGAATGGGTTTTTTCTTCCTTCAACAGATTATATAATCCATATGGGAAAACTGGACAGAAGATCATTTATTAAGATTTTAAATAGCCTGCACTATAGAACTTTTTTGATTTTTCTGAGGCCACAATTACACACATGCCATCTACCTATAAACTGGGAGTTAGCAATGGGGGAGGTTAGGAAGTGGAGGAGTGGTGAGACGCAGAAGAGCTTTGGCTCCACTTTGTCCTGGCTCAGGGTACCCCAAGATTGGCAAAATGCCTCGAGGATTCTAAGCAGAGCATTTAAAGGAGGTCTCTGAACCTCCTCTTACCCAAAGTTTCTTCCTGCTTTACTAGGGTGGACCATGGATAAAAGCAGTTCCCTTCAGTTCCCTTCTTGATTTTCAGACCTGGCAATTCCCGCTCTTCTCTTTCCTCCCATTTAAACTTCAGTCCACACCGCCTTCCAGCTTCTGTCCATACCAAATACGAGACAAGGCTCAGAACACATCTTACCCCAGCTGCCAGCTCCGTGATTCTACTTTGATGCCTCAGACACTCCTCAAAAGGCGTTCATTGAACATAACTCGATCTTTCCCCACGCCTGGTCTTCCTCCTGGCTTCCCCATGTTTGTGAATGGCACCATCAGACACCCAACTGCATAAGCCAGAGAACTTGGGATCATTTCTGACACTTCACCCTCTGAAATCAAAGTCAGTGTCAAGGCCTATCCGTTTTGCTTCCTGAATATTTCCCTAATTTGTCATTCTCCCCCTAGCTCCACAACCACCATCTTAATTCAAGCAACCACTCTCTTTTGCTAGTCCTATGGCAACAGCCTCTTAACTGTTCTTTCTACAGCCACTTCTGATCCCCAATCCTTTCACTGCACAGAAGCCTAAGTGATCTTGTGAAATACAAATCAGCATTTTCCTGGTCACTAAAGGCGTTGAGCACCCTTTCATGTGCTTCTCTGATGTTTGCATATCTTCGTTGTTGAAGTGACTGTTCAGATATTCTGTTCATTTTTAATTGGGTTATTTGTCTCCTAACCGAATTTTAAAACTCCTTTATATATTTTATATATTTTTAGATAAAAGTCATTTGTTGAATATGTGCTCTTCAAAAAATTTTTCTTTTCTTCTTCTCAATTGTGATAATGGTTTCACTGGTATGTGAATATTTATCAGGTGTACACATTAAATAAGTACAACTAACTTATGTCATTATACCATAGTAAAGGTATTTTTAAAAATCTAAACTGTCTCTTGTCCTCCTCCTTATGCTCCCAATTGCTTTTTCTAGCTCTCAGGTTAAAAAGCAAAATTCCTAATGTTGCTTAATCCAGGCCTGCCCCTAGCAGTTGAAGGACGTGGAGTAGAATCCAAACAGAGGGCCACATGCCATATGTCTAAACGATAAAAGCTATAGATCATAAGATGCTAACCACGAGCATGGAGTCCCAGCTCGGACTCAAAGCCTACCCCTTCACCCATTCCGACAGGCCTGCTGGGTCGAACACTCACACCCTGCTGGACCTGGTGGGGTAGGCAAGCAGGAGCTGGGCTGGAACCCAGGGTTTCCAGTCAATACCTGAAATGCCCCTCGATTGGGACTAACTTGGACCTGGTTTTATGCTGACATGAGTCTGAAGATGACACAGGCAGCCATGAAAAGCCTAAAATAAAACTATTCACAGCCTTCTGGTATTATTTGATCCTTTGAACCAAGTCCCGAAAGCTATGAACTTTTTATAAACTCTCTTTTTTGCCAAATCTAGATGACTAATTTATTTATGCAACCCATTCTCTATGGTAGAGATTCTCAGACCAATTTATTTTGTTACATCAAAATATTCTTATATGTTCTATTTAATATAACATGTTTAAACTGTAGAATGATTAAGTATTGTTCTAAAATATAATAAATCATTTATTTGTTCATAGTCCAAAAATGTAAGATTGTCAAGAGCAGGACCCATGTGATAGACATTTCCATTTTAGCTCCTCACAGATTACAGTGCTGAAATATTTGTGCATATTCATTTATTTATTTTACTCTTTAGATAAGGAATTTGAGCTGAAATTTTAGGAAAAGCCACTTAACTTTTTTGCAATTCTCTGAATTGACACATTTAACCTTACTATTTTTAATTATTCAGGATGCAATAGATTTATATCTGAGAATGGTTGCTTTCAAATAGTAGGTCATTTGTTCTGATTATTGAAGATTTTAATAAAAGAGAAAGTGAAATAATAAGGAGCAGACTGTGTTGTGCTATGAAGGATTAAATTAATAGATATTTTTTCCAATTTTTCTAAACCTAGGAGAAATTTAAGATTTTGCTGTGGCTTTTATCATACAAATGTATCTACTACAGGCTTAATAAAGGAAATATTGTGACAGATTGACCCATCTCTCAGAGCTATTATCTTTATGTATTTACTAATGGGAATAAGGACTCTAAATAATCCATTGTAAATACTTTTTAATAGTGAAATAAAAGGAATAAATAAAAAGAAGTTGCTTTGGGAGAACTTGGCAAAATTTCCATATGGGGTTGAATCTCCTGGCACCTGCTTTATGGCATTTTTTCCTTCTTAAGAAAACATAGAGTATTAAATAAATTTTTATCACTGCTCTTGAGCAAACTAAGCCAAACAAAGCCACACACTATTTCTCATAAAATATGCAAGGATCTGTACCAAGAGAGGTTAATTCAAAGTACTTGCCTGAGCTTCTTTTTCTTACTAAATTATACAATAAAAATAGTAATAAAATATTTCTGGAGTTGGAAATATGTGATTACACAGTGTGATTGCAATCTCTCTCATGATAGACCATAGGTAAGCTCAGACAGCCCCCTTTTCTGAAACAGAGGTACAAAGTTACACATGGGCTCAGCTGTCTGTCACATGGACACTTATCATC